TGATGGAAAATCAGCTTCATTAGTTCTGTTACCCACTTTAATAAGTTTACAGTAGTATTATCAAGTATTTTTAAAGCAGCATCCAACTCTGGAGGGAAACACTGATCCTGAGCAAAGCTTCTGGCCATCTTTCTAGTCAGAACAGTAATGCATGTTGCCTTTTCATGTCTTAAGAAGAGCTTGAAAGGAATAGAGACTTGCTCGCTACTGATAAAAATGTTGCTAACCTTATTCCTAACTAATCTGCTTTCTGCTAACCAGTCTCCCCATTTCTCTGCTGTTGCTGATTTACTGGCTTACAGGGATAGAAGTCTGAATTTAAAATCTGAATTCTGTAGCATAATATTTCAGTTTATATTAACAAAAAAAATAATTTATCTGATTTCCTTGAAGTTTCCTTCAAGGTAGTCATGGGCTTGGAGACTCTGCTTGACAGGGCTGTAACCTAAGGCTCTGCTTTCACCTGAAGGCTGGGCCAGCTGATCTCTAGGGGTCCTTTCCAACCTAGACTCTTCTATGATTCTGCGGGTCAGAGCACCGAGATTGCTTTCTGTCTAGATAGCACATTTTATCCAAGGACCCCTAACACATTTGTAACCATTCATAAGCGTTGCAGTAGTCTTGAGGTGTAGATATTGCACAGACTTTATTGTTGGGTAACCTGAACCCTGCCTGGAATCTAAGTGATGAGTTCAGCTATGTAAGATTTTGGTAACACCACAACAAAACACCGTCTAATTGTTGGACTTCATCCTCCCTTTTAGAGAGATTAAACTGTGCCTCACTGACTGACAGTAGTTACTGAGGAACAATTTGAAATACGCTTATTCTAACATCAGAAAAGGCTAGTTTAAAATAAGTGAAGGGCATGATCAAAAAATAAAGGTAATCTGTAATTTGTCTAATTTCAGATTTGTCCGTGAGGAGGTTAATTAATCTGAATCCTTTACACGTGCGTGTGTTTGCATATAAGTTATACAGTTATATTGTAGTGAGAAGAGGCATGATTTTGGCACTGACAAACGTACAAAACATTTTAAAATGAAGCTTAAGGAAAACTTAGGTAATTTGGATTTGATAATAATAGCAGATGCTGCTTTGCGGGAGTTTAATTACTCTGCAGGTATTAGATAAAACATTAGCAATAAGTGTACAAAATATGGGTTTAGTATAGAGGAAAATGTAATTATGCTTTTATTGTTCTGTTAATCTTACACTATACACTTGTATTTTTAAATTGGAAAAAAACAAGAAATAGGTGGTGATTTTGATATGCTAATAATTAGTTTCAGGCCTAGATAATTCCTTATTCAAAATCTTTAAGGATTAGATAGATTTTTATTTGTAAATTGAAGTATTTTCTCCAGAGGGAAACTTTATTAAGAACACCTGGCACTGTGCAGTAAGTAATGAACATCTTGGAACATTTACCTTTGAGAATTGTCTAATCTACATCTTGTTTGCTGTTGTCTAGTAGTCCTGTGTTTTCTGTGAATATGGTCCAGTTGCATATGACACAGTCTTTCCTTGCTTTAAAATGCAAACTCTCTGAAGCGTAGTTACCTCATATGTTTTACAGAGTTCACTAGGAGTTTCTTTGCTTTCTAGTTAGAAGAGAGGGAACTTAGTTCACATTTACCCATTCCTCTGGAATGTGGATTTTAAGGGATCTAACTCATTTATTAATAAATCTGAAGAGTTAATTGGTTTGCTGTCAGTGTTGGACTGTTTCTTATCTCTGATGGTGGCTGTCTTGGTTAATTTTGATCAGTCATGAGACAAAAGCAAACGTCAGCTTGTAGCCTTTGGAAAAGAAGAGGTTGCTAGGTGTATGCTCAGTAGTGGATCCAACCAATTTTTGGAGGAGAGCAGAACTTAGGTTCCTGATACGTGTATGTCTTGACTGCTAACTATATAGCAAGTGCATTCAGGTGGCTCTGGAACTATGGGAGGACTGGGGTAGCTGTTCTGCGCCCATCACAACAGGTTTTTAATCTGTTTGTGGCAGATTCCAAGATACTTTGGAGGCATTATTTATCTTTTCTTTTGTAACAAACTTTAAATACTCATGTAGTCACTGAAAGTGATTTTAAACTTTATGGATCTATCTGCTTTAATAAGTTTTGCTTACAGACTCTTGGACGTTTGCTTTTTAGAATTTCTCATTAGCTTTTCTTTTTCAGCTTCAGTTTCACCTCTTCTGGTTTGTGCTTCTCTTCAGGATGAAAGCTCTGTTTGCATATGATTACATAACAAACTGCATTCTCCTCCAGTAGAGGGTTTTCTTGTGAAAGCTAACTGAAATCAGATATGCTTTTTCTTTACCATTTGACTCTCTCCTAACTGTAAACACCCTGTTGTGATACTTCATTAATCGCACCCTACTGTAGCAGTTTACAAAGTGGTTTCTGTTACTTTTTCGGAAACGGTTTGATTTTTTTCTTCAAGTGTACTACAACATTGCACATACAATTTTATGGATAATTTCATATAAAGGATAGTGATGACTCACTGAAGAATCGGTATAAATTAAGAACTTATCAAGAGATTTGCTGATGGACTATAGATACATCATCTATATTTGTGATTTAAGGGATAAGCTGAACTACGTTGTATTAATGGAAAAACAGAGTAGAATTGCCATAGTTTTTGCTAAATTGTCATTTTGTACTAGATAGCAAATGGAAGAGATCAGCTTTCTCAAGATGATGTAAAAGCTGGAATTTCTGTGTGTGGGAGCTTGTGAATAAATGGAGACTGGCTTGACTCCAGAGAAATGTTTAGTTCATAAAGACATTTCTAGAGGAATTTAAATCAAGTATTTTATGATTATGAAACTGGTTTAAAAAAAAAAAAAAATTAAGAAAGTCCATAAAGAAGACGCATTCAAAAATTTTTCTCTTCATTTTACAGTTTTATGTCTTGAGATGAGGTGTGCACATACGTACGTGCCTTTGGCATCAAGAACATTTGTTTCAAAACATGTCATAAAATGAGAAAGCTTGTAGGAAGCTCCTGGGATAAAAAAGACCACATTTCTCAGAGCAATTGTATCCTTGAGAATGCGGATTGTGTGAAATGATGAGCAGTGTTTGAGGAGAAAAATCTCTAAGAACATTTGTAGTCGTCATCCTTTTGCTAGAGAAATGGGTATAAAACGGAATTTGGTTTGCTGGGGATTGTAACCTTTTCTGTCTGTGACCCTGGCTGTAAGCTCCCCGTGGGGTTTAGCTGCCTGTGTTCCAAGGATCTGTGGCTCTGATGTGGCCCAGGCTGCACAGCCTTGGCTTAGACTGCTGAGGGAGAACTGTGAGAAGGTCTACAGAAGGATAAGAATGGTAAAATTACAGGTAGGATTTTTTTCAGACAGGATCATTAGTAGTTCATAGTTCCAGGGGTACGACGTGCAAGGTATAAAATCCTAAGGTGGAAAAACAGGGAATCAAGCTGGATCTTGTCCAGAATTGTTGGGTTGTCGGGTCAAGTTGTTAGTGTTGATGAAGTTAGTGGAAGATGGTAACTCAGCAGTATTCAAGGATCTGTCTTGGGGAGCCATGAAGGCTAACCGTTCCCCTCCTGACTGGTGCCTGCCTGGCCCGCAGGGACTCTTTAGTGCTTTGTCAGGGTGGGGAACACATTCACCCTCACCTGAGTGTCTTAACTAATAATTATTTTTCATTTTTAAGTTATGTCTTCCTGCTTGCAGCTTCTCTTAGTCCTCAGCTAAAGATGCCATGCCAGAATATAGTGACGCAAAAGAGGGGAGGTAACAGAGTAATTGAACGGAGACTTCAATGCTATAAGATTCTCTTTCGAAAATAATTAAAATTCAGTGAGTTAAGGGTCATGCTGTGTACTTACCCTTACACTTAAGGCTTCTTTTGAATGTGTAACGAGAGCACTGCATTAAACTTGTTCCAGTCTCTGAGAAGTCTCCTTGAATTAAGTGATATTTTAAACTCGGGCTGATGGTTCCAGTGTTACTGGTGCTTGAACAAATAGCAGAGTGGTACTTCAGCGATGCAACAAAGCATCAGCTGTCAAGCTAGTAACACTGCTTTCTCCTATCAAGTCCTCTCGTAGAGCTGTAACTTTGTTTTGTGGTGTGACTGATTTAAAGAGTTTTAAGAGTTTTGAGTACTTTCCAGATAGGTTACCATTTCAGTATTTAATGTCAGCTGTCCGTGCCACAGTTTGCTAGGGAAGTATTTTGATGCGTTATTACAGCACGCCTGCTGCGTTGTTGTTTTTGTCTTCCTTATGCAGCCCAAAGAGAAGGTACTGGGCTGCTTGATTCTTTGGAGTTTGGCTCATGTTGCCATTCTTAAGTAAGCGAGGTATGTTGAAGATTAGCAAAATACCGTGGTCACTGAGAGTGAAAGCCATAGCTCTCTGGAAGGAATTGCACCTTTCATAGTATCAGTGGGAAAAGGATTTTGATGCCTGATCTTACCCGCCCAGTGGAAGGATGCTGTCAGACAGTATAAATGTAGCTCCTAAACTGTGGTCATCAGTAGAAGCTGATGAGGTTTACAAATACAGAGTTGTACCTTCCTTTTTTTGTTCATCCCTATTTCTTTACTTATACTTTTCTACAATAGGAGAATCTATTTGTTTTTATTATCCTGTTTCCTTATCCTTGTCCCATAGGACATGAACTTCAGAAGCTTTCATGTACTTAGGCCTTCATTTTACATTTATATCTGTACAAGCTACTGAGGCATCCACAAAGATCCTCAGTACTTTCAGAGGGGTTCTAAAGTGCCAGCGCGTGCATGCAGTATTTTGCAGGGCTGGAACTTGACACTTAAAGGACTATATCAAGGTTTAATAAAAGTTAAATTATAGTGAAAGGAAGAATGATTTATGCTTTTCTTGAGTCATGAGTGGTTTGAGATTAGTAGCATACTTTTAAACAGACGGTGGAAGTACTATACCACCTGTTAAAATGAATGTGTCACTCTTAAATTTGTAATCTATTATCCTTTTACTTTTTATAGTAGTCTTCTCTGAAGAAGAGAGAGAGCAGCTGAGGAAATTCAAAAATAAATCTTATCTTCTGGATAAAAGAACCCGTCATCATGTGTATCTCAGTTTAATTGATATCCTTCTGGCATATTGCTATGAAATCTGTGTCAATGAAGGAGACAAGAAAATAAGTTTAAAAAAAAAAAAAAAAAAAAAAAAAAGAATGTTTCAGGAACCTAATGCCAGACCCTTTACTGTCATTTGGGAAATTTACCTTTTAAAGTGAACTTACTCTTACCTCCAAACATTAAAAATATGATAATTCAATTAAAATGAAAGACACTTTATCTCTAAATTAAACTGTTGGGATGCATTTAGGGATTATTGTGATTTCTAAATGTTTTTAGGCTATTCTGGATTTAGGCATGTTAGCTATAGGAGAGAAGTGGAAGGAGGTGCAGGAGATTTCAAACAATTCCTTTTTGTTTGCGATTTGTTTTGTGGAGTGGTGCATCTTGATTTACTTAAATATAGATTTCATGAAGTTGCTGTTTTTGAATCAATGGTTCTTCTTTTTTCTAAGCAATTCTATAATAGTCTGCAGGACTGAGACAGAGTTCAGTGTTTTATAAAGGCTGCCATTGTATGCTTTTAACAAAACTGAATTTTTTAAGTGGATTTTTTTTTTTTTTTTTTTTAAGCTTGTCTGCTGAATGTGGAAAATGTTTTCTGAAGCATTCTGAAAACTATGGTGAAGTGTTTAAAAACTTAAAATTGATGCTTTTTTTTCCCTCAAAAAAAAAAAAAAAGGTTGCAAAGTTTTCTTTTACCCAGTTACCCAGTGTCTCGAGAGCTGGAGGGAAATGGGAAGATAGCTTTAAGCCAGATTTTCTTTTTGGGTATTCTGGTGTTTGCCTATCTCCTCGACAATACAGCAGCCAGCTTTTTGTGTTGTGAATCCTAGGCTTTTTAGTGGATATAAAGAGTTAAGAAAATAGTGGAAGTTTAGTATGGAGCCTGGCTAACAGGATTCTGTGCTGTCCTGTGGAAAGCTTGCTTTTTAAAAATGAAGTTGCTTCCCAGATACCGCTTTGTTCCTAGCATCTCCTCTGCTGATGCTAACTATGGATGCTTTCTCCATGCTTTTAATCAAAATATTGGAACAGATAATCAAAAGCATTCTCTCCTTATCAGACTGAATTGTGAGACATGGATTTTAGAATTGCAAGCAGAAGCGTGCAAACCGGCCTGTTCAACAGAACAATCATAGGACTGTTGTTGTATTGCTTCATATTGTTAATGTGCTACACAAAATCACAAATATGTGAGGATCCTTATGTACAAAAATGTTATTGTCCTTGCAATAGCCTTATGGTATATGTGGAAAACACATTGCTTTTTTTAATAGGAAAGCCAAGACTTTCAGGCCACACAAATCTTTATTAGAGCCAGGATTATAGATCAAGGCTTCCTGGCTTTTAGCCCTAATCATCCCACTAGACCACACTACCTCACAAATCCTATGAATCTGTCACATTTAAAGAATAATGATGTTTTACATACACTGCTGGCTTTAGGAATCTCTCTGAAAGCCAGAAGTCTTGAGCTGTTTTCACAAAATGAGGCATTTTAGCTTGAACTGTTGATTCACCAGGCAGATTCAAGTTTCTCTTGCTTGGTGAAAAGTGTATTGAGGGACAGGAAAAACTGCATTGGAGGAATTCTGTGATTGCTGTTGTATTTTAAAGGCGTTTAGGCTAGATAGCCGCAGTACGGAAACACATTTCAATTTTTTAACATACTGTATTACAATATCATTTTCATGCTGTCCTGTGGCCATTTCAATGCACGTAATATAATTCACAAAGGTTCTTAAATTGCTGCCGGAATGTCATCTTAAATAGTTTGCCAGCAGTCTTGAACATTGAATTAGATAATAACTTGTTCTTTGTTTTCCTCTCTTAAAATCAGGTGGAATCATCTTGGAACGTCAGGAAACTGAGTGCAACGCTGTGCTGGCTGGAAGTAAGTTAAAACTTAAGTGCTGCCTTATATATTTGCTTTGTTATTTACCTTTGGAATTGTATGTTGCTTTTGCTGAAAGCTTGCTCTTTCAATTTTGAAGTTGAATTAAGTGCTTGCTTTATATTTAGTAAGTATTATAAGAAATTGATGAAGACTTTTGGGTTCCCAGCTTCTGATGGCCCCAAGAGGCTAGAGTGTGACCTCTGGTACATCTTTCTTGGTCCTGCACCTTTTTCTGGCCCGTTGCAGAAAAGCTAAGGGCAGGCTCTACCTAAAAGCTAGTCATCTACACACGATCCCTAGCTTCTGGGTTTCATTCACAAGTCCTGTCCTTTACTTAGGAGGTAACTGTGTTTACTCCTTGCATGCCTCTGAGGATGTGTATGCATCTATATACCTAGGGTAAAAAAATACCAGTACAGCCCTCTCGCTCTTTGACCAGAAGTCATAAATACCATCCCATTTAACTGGCTAAAGCAGTGCCGGGTGTTAGAATAGAAGCTATTGAACAACAGAGTAATGTAAAAACTGGCAAGGGGCTTTTTCAGGCAACTAGTTTTAGAAAAGGATGAATATAATTCTTTTTCCCTTCTGTTGAGGTTCCCCTATCTTCAAACATCAAATACAGAGTATGGTGAACACATGCTATTTTAAAGCTATTCTTAAGTTCCATCTGCATGTTTTCTTGATCAGTGTGGTTGGGTGTAGGCTTTTGTGACTTTGGTGGGGGGATTAGTTGATCAGACTGCAACTTCTATCAAAGGAAGACATTTTGGTGTGAGAAGCGTGGAAGAAAGAGCAAACACAATGAAGGTTTTTCTACAAAAAAACTCCAGTATCACATACGATGTTATTAATGATGAAAAAATCTCTTGAGTTAATTGATAAGTTGAAAACAAATTTTAAATATAGGAATGAAAAACACATTTTCTTCTGTAAGAAGCTCTCATCTTGAAGAGATTTTAACAGAAAACACAGATACCGAATGTCAGATGTATTAAGAAGTCGGTATGATTTGCAAAGCTAATAATCCATAAATGGTATAAAAAGCAGAAGTTGTGATTTCTTACTATTAAGTATCACTCAGTGGGACCTAGTGGGCTTGATGTCCTTTAACTGCTACTTCAGGTGCGTGTTTTAATAATGACTTTTGAAGATGGCAGGCTTCGATTAAAGAAGCTTATTGCCCGCTTCTGGGGTTTTTTGTTGCTGAGCTTTCTCCAGACTTGCTAGATCGTCATTCTGCACTTCTGGCTTGCTTTTTTTCTGGGCTGCAAATCAGGTGGCTTCCGGCTCCTTCTCCAGCTGCTCTGTGGCTTCAGAGTTGGTGAGGGAGTAGAGCTGGGAAGCCCGGAAGTAACTGGGCACCCCAGCGATAGACGAAGGAAATTTTTTTTGAGCTGAATGACTGCTTTATTTCCCATATCATGGAAATGCTGCATTCCATAACCTTTTAGGAAAAATACCGCTGGTCTGTAATTGTAAAATTGCTGTGTCATTATGGCTCTCATGATTGCGTGACCTGTCACAGCTCTAAATGCCTCTGCTTCAGGTTTCTCGCGGAGTCAGTCAGTGGACACACGTGTTGCTTTAGCCCTCATTTCTTCTCAGGGTTATTATTGCATGCATGTGCGTTTACTTACTGCTAGCCCTTTGAAAGCAGCCTAGAACAGAGGGAAGAAACGGAATTCCTTTCTTTTCTCAGTGCTTTCAGATAGTTTACCGAGAAGCACGTAGGCCTCTATGATGAAGTTGTTACACACCTGGCAATGCAATGGACGTATCCTGGCCTGTAGAGCATTATTTCTCGTGATGGCAACAAGCTAGAAAGGACTTTCACTCCCTCGTTACTTAAATTACTGAGCCATGGCACAGTTTGCAGGATCAAATATTACATTTCAGACAGGATTTTTGGGTCTAACCCTACAAACGTTTCTAGTGGTGGTGAAGGCGGTATTTAGTAATAAGAATTTGTTCTGTTGCAAACTGGTGTTACACGTTACTTTGTACTTGTTTCTAGGTGAATGTTGTGCAGTAGCAAGTCCTGAAGGAGTGCAGTTAAAGTGCCTTCGCTCTTGAATTTCAGATCCGTATCCTACCGCAGTGAAGGAGTTTTCTGTGTGTGCTTATCCTATAATGTAGCAGTTCTTGGCACAGCTTCTGCCAACAGTATACTTCACACCCAGAAAATTCAGTCTCCTGGCACCAAGCTGTTAATAACTATATCTGTTATATAAACCATGTAGAGGCGGGTGTTTTCATCAATCTGTAAACAAAACTGCCTCAGCTGTGGTTTGTTTCAACTGACTGCCATTTTGCTGTGCATGACATGTGCACACCTTAGACTCTAAATATTGAATAAGATGTAAATGATTAAAAGGCTTTTCAGCAATCCATTAAAATGAGAAATGGGTTGAGGTAGTCATGTGATGTGGAAAAGTGCTGATTTTCAGTCAAGCATTTTTACTTCAATAAATTGAGAATTCAAGATGGAATCGGTGTGTTTATTTGAATGCATAAATGGAATATTTTGTCTTTTGAAAAGTGAATGCTGGGAAGTAAATCACTCTTAGAGAGTCTTTAATAACTCAGTGGTGTCTCTGGCCAGGGTAAATTAGAGATCTTCCTCCCTTGTGAAAGAGGACTGCTTTCCCTGGGGAGATACGTTTATCCCTATCTCAAATATCTGTAATTTCCATGAAAGGCAGAGTCATGTATCATTTTTAAAGATCTTATATGTACACATGTATTCTGTTACTATCATATGTTTTTAATTTTTATTCTTAAAAGGCTTTTTATAGCTTCCCTATATATATATATATATATATATATATATATATAAATAATAAAGGGCAGATGTAATTTATTGCTCTTTTCTAAATAATGGCAGTCTTGAGTTAGACTTTTTATTCTAATGTTCACTAAATGCTTTTTTTAATTCAAAACCATTAAAATATATTGGACTGCTGTTATCCTGCCATGCAAGCTAAATGTGTAGTGTTGTCTTTCTGTTTAAGATCAGCGTATTGATTTTCACATCTGTTGAAATACAGATTTTAGATATAACATAATATAAAAAGGGCTTGTCGATCTATGCTGCTATGACTTTTCCTAAATAAAAAGTAATTTTTTGTATCAAAAAGCGCACAGACTAATGCAAATTTTTTTTTTATTGATACATACAGAGTTTCACTAGTATTCATGATGTCCTGGTATCTTTCGGAAGAAGAGTTTTATGCTATCCCCTGTACAGACATTTCACATTAGTGACACGTGCCATCGATGATACAGTAACGATACTGCAACTAGGTAAGTTTTTTTTAGGGACTGAAAGTGGTACCTGCCAGCGACGTTGTATATCTATCTTTTTAATAACTTTTCAATCTTTAGGCTAATTTCACCTAAATTTGATAGAGGGAGACTATTACGTTCCTGGACGTCTTGTGGTTTTCTGAAAATGGGGCTGAGGAGAGGAGAGAGCAAAATCAGTGTGTTTCACAGGAAAGAGCCTGTGAAGCAATTCATTTATTAAGCAGTGGAGAATCCATGCAGTTGTGATGTGAATTCAGAGAATCCACGCACAAGAAAAATTATGAGTATCTCATCTTTAGAAAAAGCTTTGATCAGATCTTGCATCTTAATAAATGGGGATAATCTACCCGTGATTTATAGAGCCCTTAGTGAAAAAGCGTTCAGAGTTTAGTTTAAGATGTGTTTGCATGTTGTTGGTTTCTGATGTATTCTTGTTTATAGTATATTTTTCTGTCTGTAAAGAGATTTTTCTATTGGAAAAAGCATCATTTTAATGATGTTTTTGTTGTGGTAGGTTAGATACTATAATTGTATTAGGTCCCTTTAAATAAATTTAATTTTGTTTCTGATACATTTAAGTTTTATTTCAAACCAGGGTGATTTATGCTTAGAGATGTAGTAGGGGTTCTGTGGTTCCAATAGCTCTTTGTGTGTTCCTTAATTACTTGACTGAAGCCCATTATCAGAAATGCTTCCAATCTCTTAACTTCCAGGGTTTGTCTCTGGTTAAGGGCCTTTCTTTCCCTTGCTTTCCCCCCCCCCCCCCCCCCAACCCTCAGGCGCCATCTTTTCCGGCGCTGGCCGTGCCAGGGAGCCAAGCGTCTCCTGAATTTTGGAGTCTTTTTCTGGAACACATGTATGCCTCCAAATCTGGACAGCTTTCCTCCATAGTCTTACTGTTTGGAAGAACTTCTTTTTTTTTTTTTTTTTAATTTAACCATTGTCATTGTTGCTAGGATTTTGACAGAAGGGAAGTTTACCTTATTGTTAAGTTCTCCCTCTCCTTGCCAGTTTCTTGGTCCATAATTAAACCTTCTGGTTTTTTTCCAGATTTGAGCCAGTCCACAAATCATGTTATTTCCTGTTTAAAATAATTGTTTTGGATATCCATCTCCTTAATACCTAAACTATTCCTTTGTGTGTGCCATTTTAGAATTGTCATACAGAATCACATGTGTTAAGGAGCTATTTGGAAGGCAGGGGGTAGTTCTGTGGCTCATAGGCAGACAGTTACTGTTTTGTCAGATTAAGTGAAAAATGGTTGAGGTGACTGTCTGGTAATTCTAGTGGTGGTTGTCAAAGAATAGAAATCCTGAATGGTGATGAGATCATGGCTTAGGATCTAAGGGAAGCCAGTATTTACTAAAGGATTGCTGAGAGCTCTTTAGAGCAGTAAAGTGAGTGAAACCTAACTTATGTAAATTATGGGTTTATCAATGGCCCCTAAAGTCCTGAACTAACAGCTTCACAAATGGAAAGCATCAAAATAATTTCATTTGCATCGTTGGCTTTCTATATCATTATTCTGTCATAGGAACAAAGGCCAAAATCTCTGACTTGAGTATGTTATCTTGGTTCTCTGCTTGTATGTTACTAGGCAAAATCGGGTCGATCTAAGTAACAGCCAAATAGAGCTGTTCAAAAAGTGGTGACTACCACACTGACATTTTTTCTTCATTTAAAACTGAAGAATAAAAAAACTACACTACATATTTGTAGCTTTTTGTTTCATGTTCAGGAGTGAAGCTGTCATCTTAATGACTGTTAATAAATCTTTCAGCAGTAGCATTCTACATTCCCAGTTTATCCCAGACTGTTTTCACACAGCAGTGTACAAGTGTTCAGAACTATGGTTGTTTCAGCTTCAATTGTGCAGACTTACATAACCATGCTTATAAGTTGGGGTGTTAACGTTACTTACAAGTTTGCTGTTTTTTCTGAACGTAGTAACTTACAATAAAAATATCTTCAGTGTTGGACTGTTGTCTAACAGAAGAAACACTGAGAAGCAACACTTTGGTGGTTTATTTTCAATGTTTGTGAGTTGCAAGTTGAGAAAATGCACAGAAATTGTAATATTACTATGTCCTACTATAAGACAGTATTGATGGTTGAAAATATCATTTGTTGTAACAGTCAGGTAGTGAAGTTTTAGGGGAGAAATCTGTGCTGTTATCTCCACTGGGCTTATGCTGCTTTTCACAAGTGTGTAAACATAAAATTCTGGTAATCAAAGTGAAATCATACAGTTCTGTCAGCCTATTAAGTTTACTTAAGAGGATAGTACTTCAGTGGTATGCTATATGCTTTTTTTCTTTTAATCTTATGATGCAAAAATGGTATTGCAGAATGAACATTCAGTGACACAACAAAAATATTTCAAAGTTTGTCAAGGGAAATGGCATCTACAGTGACTTTCTGTATCTGATTTCCTTCTCCATCTTCCTGCTTTAGACACGTGGCTCCATCTGTTGCCTTGTTCTCCCAAACCACAGGGACCCCGGCAGTACTTAGCATGGGCTCTCTGTATCACCCGTGGTGATCTTGCTGAGCAGCAAAGCCTTGATCCTCTCGGGAGGACTAGTCTGGATACACTAAATAATCCTGTACTGGGACAGGAGATAGGTTAACCTGTAGTTTTTCTGACCTCAGTGATCTGCCTAAAAATTACTGCCATAAGCTTTAACAGCAATTGAATTTTATTTAGATATATCCTCTTCCTCTGTTTTCTGGAATTCACCCATGGTGTAAACTATGCGTTTAAAATGTTCTTCTGTTTCAAAGCTCTTTCATAGCAGTATACCCTTGGTAGTCTTGAAAGGGAACTGAAAGACAGGAATATGGTTTCATCTGAAGAATTTCTTCCCATTTTGGTCTATAGTAAAGAAACTATTTTAACTAGGAAAAGTTTTCTTCCATAAATGTGATGTACAGGGCATGCCAATAACCAAAAGAAGAGCAGACTTTAGTTGTAAGTCCTAACATTTAAGTTTTGTTTCCTAATGTTTGTTTAATTTACAAAAGCTTCTAATTTTTTTTGTGGTCCTCAGCGGTAAGTGAATGAGGGGAGAAGGCATAGATTTGGGGAGAGTGAAGGGGGTACGAGTGCAACACGCTCATGTATAATATATACATGTGTGCATAGCAGCACACAGTATAAACACATGCATGTGTGTGTTTTTATAAGAGTACAGTTATGTAACTAAGATAACAAAACCCTCATAGAGTAACCGAGAAGAACAGTTTGCATAATCTAATCTGTCCTCATGCCACTAAGTCCATTCATAATCCTCACTTGTAATAGTGCATTCAGTTCCAGGCTGTCCAATGTCAGCTGATACAAATGCCTTGTATTTAACCACTACCCGATGAGGAACTCTGTTCTTAATGATCAGCTCCTTGGGGAAAGTGCATGGTCCTGCATGTATAAAATTCATTGTATTCCTCTGTGTTTATAAGGTGTCAGTTCACTCTTGTTTAAGCCACTGAACAGTAAGTCTTGTAATTTGCAGACCTAGAATAGTTCAAAATATTTGCAAGAAGTGCAGAGTATTGTAGTTACAGTCTCCTCCAAAGTATTGAGAGGAGGTAGGCTTATGTCTTGTAATCACTGAGCTATTTAAATCTTCTAGCATCTTAATACCTAATGGTTTACAAGCACTGGAATAAGTTAAAAAATGCAGTAGGTCTGGTTTCATTCAGCAGCATTCTGTGCATGTCTGTGGCTGTGCTGGTTGCCTGGGAAACCAGTGCAGGATGGTGTGACTGGCTGTGTTGGCAGAGCTGCCAGTGGATCTTCAAGATGTTGGAACAGCACACGCGAGCCTAAAATAAAAAGAGGAGGGGGGGAATGCATGCCCATTTCAACTGGAATCCTTATTAGGAGAAAGGAAAGCAACATCTTCAATATCAGCCATGATAATCGCTGTGTGCTACCTGAGGAATGGACAAAAATATGTTAATTTCTTCATGTAGGCATTAATCTGTTGGGAGGGGCATTAGAAAGTTAGCAGGGCAGTGATATGGGGGTTTTGTGCCCCAAATTACCCTTTGCAATTATGGAATGAATCTGGTGTGAAAAGCATGGAATTCTTTAAATAGCCACCTCTCCCTATTGGAGAAAGGTACAAAATGGATATGTTACATATCTAGCTAATCAGAAGGGAAAAAAGTCTCCATATCTGTAAAGGAAATGGATTTGCAGATTGTGCTTCTGTTGCCAAGGCACATTTGTTCAATCAAATATTTCCTCCTTCAAATTTCTTTGGAAGTCTAGCTAAGCTCTTGGGGAATTTCATTTTTTACAAAATACTTAGCAGACTGTAGTCTGAAAAGCATAGTAGTCGTAGATAGCATTAAGTAGTCATTTTGGTTGCTGGAAATGATGCATTACCAACCTGGCATTGTATTTTAATATGTATGTGATGCACACAGGTAAAAATGACTGTCAACTGATAGATAGCAGATTCAGTTAAATAGTATCACAGAAATCTTCCTTGTCATGTGGATGCGAGAAGATGGGTGTTTAACTTCAAGGAAGAATTGGTTGTAGTTAACTTCATCCTGATTTAAGGTCTCTTTTAGGATGCTAGCAACAGAAGCTGAGACCTCGTATAATGGAATGGTTCGATAATAAAGTCAGGATGTTTTAGATGTAATTCAATGCAAGTATACTGATATTTGTGTTTATTAATAAATGTTTTCAAACCCTTAGCTACAAACTTGAAACTTTATGTACCAGAACAGGAATATTCTAACAAAGCCTGAAATGAGGAAGAATTGATAAACAGCCATTAGGAAAGTAATTACTTATTCAATAAATTTTCATTGTAACTTTTCAACAATTAACGAAATTAGGGAATGAATATTTTATTTTTTCAAAGCTCTTGTTTTCCAAACAAATGAGCGTAGTAAAGCTATTTAAAAATAATGGAGAATTCTTATGAGATTGAATTGTTATGTCTCAAGTGAGTAAATAAGTGAGCTTACTTTAAAAATATTAGCACTACGTTGATGGATTGCTTTCAAAGTACAAGGTAATGCATTTTTAGGCTATTTGATGATCTTACACGGTGGTTGAAATTGCTTTTTGGATTCAGACTTCCTGTCAAAGTGTTAGTTGTAAGACAAATGCATTAAGCTAATTAATGTTAAGGTCCTCAGCAAACTTGCTCATATTCTTCTGTTTAAATGACCCAAAATATTTAAAATACTTCGACAAAATTGTTTGAACGTCAGCGTTGTCATCTAGCATTCTAATGTATTTGTTTACCTGTTCTTTGGATAGGCTTAGATTACTGAGTGGTAATTCGGTGGTATGTACCAGCTACAGTACTATTTCCAACAAAAGGTGTATACTGCATTTGACAGATGAGTAACAGAAAAATTTGCCAGGTGTAGTTGTTATGTATCTTTCCAAAGCCCCTTTTCAGTGGACCTGTAGTAAATAAGTGGTGTGGGCTGTTTGTCGGTGCTTACTGATGTTGCATTACCATTGTGTAATACTGATTAGCAAGCAGTCTTCTGTGAGCTGTGAATAAAGAGAAGATTCATTTGTGTTCTTTTCTGTGACATTAAATATGCTTTACCTCCTTCTGTACAGAAACTAACACTAAGAGACTTTTTTAAAAAAAACTATGTATAAAAACAGATAGTACCATCACCTAGCAGGGAAGTTATTACTGGAAAGTTTTCATTTAAAAGTCACTAGGAGTTCTTTACTTGATTTTTAACAGGGTGGTGACTCTGGTAGCACTTTTGTTTTAATTTACTTTCTGTAGGCTCTCCAGAAGGGCTCAGAGGTAGATGGCTGATTGACTGAACTTGCCATCAAATTGTAAAATAAATTATTACAAATTTTTTTTGCCAATAAGAATACTAGAATATTTAGAAGCTTTAAAAAGAACAAAAATGATTATGTTCATAACATGAAAAATACCTTCACATTTCACTTTTTAGAGAGACTAAAGTTAATTTCTATTCCTTGTGATTGTTGCCATAAAGATATGGCAGATAGATTTTTTTTTCTGCGTTTGAGTAGTCTTGAGATTAGATTCCGTCTCAATCTGATGACTAGGTATTGCTGAAAGCATGGGGGAGTTGTGACAGATAGTTCTACTGTATTCAATGTCATGTTATTCTTAAATCTTTTTGAATGAGGGGCAGTAAAGTTAAGCTTATTTCTTTAGATGAATACTCCTGCTTCTTGCAAACAGGTGGAAAAATACATAGAAGTTCCTGGGTGGAGGGGGAAGTAAAATAATGAGATTTGTTAGTTTATTTTGCTTCCAAATACTCAGTATGAAAGCTAGTAGGATTTGATGATAGTGTAAAATCAATGTGTTACTGTATCACATGACAGATACAAAGCTGGGGTTGAATGATCCTTTTCTGAACTAGTCTGTGGAAAGAGGAGGGCCATCTTCTGCCAGCGAGGGCTGCCCTCTGCCAGCTGTCATCACAGTGAACTCCTGCAGAATCCAGTGGTCTGCAGACACGTACTCTGACTTTATGCTTCTGCCTCGTGCGCTCAGCCTCTGTGCTGCTTTTCCTCTGGAGTTGCAACTCCTCATCCTCTCCCCAACAGCAGAGATTTTTTTTTGAATGGCAGGAAAAGAAAACCACCTTTGTCTAAGAAAACGAGGGGTTAGTATTTAGTTCCGATATCCTGTATTACAGTATATACAATTTCAAATTAGTTACTGTCCTCCTTTACCTCTACTGCAGATCCTTATACCGAGAGATAAAGAGAGTGTATTGGAGACTGTGTTGAGTTGTATACTTCTGTGGTCTACACCTTAAACTTTAGTAGCTTAGAAAATAAGTATTTTTGGTCCTCTTACTTAAAAGTATGCATAAGAAGATTTTTTTGTGTAATTAATTGTTGTTTAAATCAGAAAATAGTATCTGTGCATAAAAAGCAGTATATTTATTGATCAGTATAACATAGAGGTATAGCTTTACATTGAGGTAGGTATGTTTAGAGTGCTATTTTCATTTGTTTGAAGAACTTGAAGTGAATTGCATATGTCATTGTATTAGTTGTTTGATTTGTTAAAGTGTACGTTCAGACAATGCACAAAACCGACTTAAAAATAGATCACTTATTTTCCTGCAATTATCGTCAAGTTTCTTGTGCGTACTCTTAAACATCTACTGCCCGTGTACGTGAGCGTGCTTGACTCCTTATGCTATGCGGAGAAAATGAAATGGGTTGTACTTGATGTGCCTTCATTGGTTCTTCCCTGGCTTTCTTAACTTCAGTGTACAGTTATTTTTTTAAAAATGAGAATTTTAGGGCTACAAGAGAGGTGGATTTTAAAACTAGCACATGGTAGGCTTGCTTTAACAGGCAACCTTGCAGTGAGTTATACTGACATGACTGCCAAAAAGCCCCCAACCTGTTTATCCTTCAGCTTCAGTTCTCTGATCCAGTTCACTGTGTGGTTCCACAAACGCCTGCACTGGCACGTCACAAAGAACTGCCGAGGAACGATCTGTGGAAAAGATGGGGGCGGAGGGGCACAGCAAAGCGTACTTCAGCCAGTGTAAGTAGTAGTGCTGCTGCGTACATAACCGCAGCCTTGCAGCCTGAAAGTTAGGACCAGATGTCTACTAAAGACTGAAATAGATATCCAAAGACAGAACTTGCAATTTAGAATTTCACAGAAATTGGCTAAGAATCATCTCTGTTTTATGGAACACCCTCCATTGAGGCTTAAATAGTGCTCGTTACTCAGCTCTTGTTTTTTAGTTCTTGTGGTTGGCTGCTTGATGCAGCTTTGTGTAAGGAATTCTTATTTATAAATGGCATTTTAAAAGATGCATATTCTGAAAGCAGAAATCAAAATTGCAGCCTCTCTGATTAGAGCCCCTTGAAACTACTATAATCTAAAATTTTAATTTATGAAGAAAGACTCCTTTTTACTGAGAATTAACATTATAGTCACTGATTAACATTGTTATTTGGCAGGTAAGTAACAGCAGTGGATGTTGTAAATGGTTCAAGCTGGCAGCTTGACAGAAAATTTTAGCAAAATTTTAATTTTTAATAATCTAATATTTATTTTAATATTTTAATTTTTAATAATTTTTAATATCATGTATTTTTAGAAGAGCATGCTTGTAGTCAAAATAGTCTAGTTCAGCAAGCTTAGCCTGGCAAATATTGGTGGTGATAGAGCCTAGAAGTTCATCAGGTGCAGATGGGACTTCATTGATTCTTTCTCAGCTTCTGTTCAGTAGCTTCTCTTCCAGATCAGTATTTCTCAGTTTTGTTTGCCATTGCTTTTTACTGTCCAAATTCTTTCTCCTTATTGCAATCTTCCATAGCTTTTCAATTGCATTTGCTCTGTCTATAGTTTTTTAGCATCTAAGTACTTAAAAACTGACAAAAATCTTGTACTTGAACAGCAGGGGGAGTTCTGATCTTTCTCTCTCCCCCCTCCCTCTTTTTTTTTTTTTTTTCTTTTTTTTAAATCTGTAAAATGTAACTTCATCCATGTTCAGGTTTCATAGCCTTGGAGGAGCCAGTCTCTTGGGAGGGGGTTATGAGATTCCATTTGCAGTAGTGGCTGGGTTTTTTTTTATGTGTGGTTCTCCTCCCCCCCCCCACCAGTCAACAGTGGATTTTTTTGTGTCTGTTCCAGCACTTAACCCTTTAGTAATTTTGATTAGAAAACTAAGTGGGGAGATGCCAGCTAACAGGAAGTTTTTCTAATGAGTTTTCTTTATAAAGAATGACTGTGCACTAAGAACATGGAACTGATTGTGGAATGAGAAAGGGGTCTCACAGGGGTATTCTGCTGAGGTCAGAGAGGCTCCATATCTACACCGATGAGGTAGAATGCGATACCAAGGAACATAGTCCTCTGACTGCAGGATTTTTCTGAGGCTGTGAATCGACTTAAAGTTACAGAATCATTGTAAATAGCATGATTGTTAACCTCAAAGGTGAGAAGATGATAAAGATTAGCTATTATGATGTCTGATGAATTACAAAAATCAAAATCTTTTCCCAGGAAAAGGTGCAGTTTTGAAGTGCCTGCTGGAGATTCACAAGATTTTTAGGGAGAATGACCCTTCCTACATCCTCAACGATCTCTTCATTACAGACTATTGCATCTGGATTCAAAAAATCAAGTAAGTTCTTAATTGGTTATTGATTTGGGAAAAGTTTTTAGCACGCTTTAGCTATGAATAAGCGTCAGTTGAAAATAAATGCTATGTCCCATGAATGGAAATGTGTTCGGTCTTTTTTGTAAGCTTGGCTATCCAACTATTTATACAATGTAACAAAATATTCATTTTTACGTAGTGATATCACTGGAGAAGGGTGGAATTGCTTTTAACATAAAATTGTTAATTGTCATAGATGTATTAATCGTTTAGGGGTGGGGAAAGAATAATGTGGTGGAACAACTTTATGGGAATATTCATTCCACTGTAATTTTTCCTAGAAACGGAAATGATTATATAGGACTTATGTAACATTTAGAAAACAGTTGGGGAAAACTTCCAATTCAAGATTGAATTGACAACCTCTAATTCAAGTCAGAGGCACCTGCAAACCATTTATATCTGTGTGAAGCGGTTGGTTTATGGGCTATAGCAGTTGCACCAATTGAGTATAACACCAGAGTAAGTGTCACAAATATCTGTCTACTGTTGCCCCTGCAGTGGCTTGCCAGCTCACTCTCCCTGGTGATAAGCTTGGGCTTCCGCTCCTGTTGAGAGGAAACGGTGACTCTGCCACTTCTAGACTAAGTTCCTACGCTTCACCACTTCTGTGTCTCCCCTATACTCTTTTAATAGTCAGTGTGGCTTTGCTTTACTTCCAAGACACAGGGCTCTTGGAACTTTACAACCAGACTAATGAGAGTAATAGCATGCTTCGGTCACCAAAGTTATTTGTAGGAAAATGAGAAGTGGATTAAATGAACAAAGAAAGCTGCAAGTTCAAATCTTAGCAAACTTTATCAGATTTATTTTGTCTGTCATGCTGCTTCACGCACCCCCCAACTTGTTACGTCCTTACAGCCTTCTCGGCTGAAGATGAGAAGTGAAATGCAAGACGCTTACATAAGTCCTTCAGTAGTTTCAGAAAGCCCTGCGATGGTCATGGCAGCAAAATGTTTTGCCTGAATCTTAAAATTGCTCTCTGAAGAGCAAAGCCTTCCTTACCCTGCTTGAGCAGGGAGGTTGGACTAGATGATCTCCAGAGGTCCCTTCCAACCTGAACCATTCTGTGATATAAATAGAGAAATGACATTGCCATATTTGATAATATAGCAACGTACAGACTCATAAAACAATGGCTAAAAGTAATCTTTACATTTCAGTCCACAGTTTAACAGGAGATTTCTGAGGAGAAAACTTCTGAAAGTATGAGAGACAAGTAGTAATGGAGGGATATAGAGGGAGCTTGATGATGATCAGAAGGGGAAATATGAAAGAGAATCGAGCCAACTTAAATAGGCTGCTGTTGTATAATGGCTTATCTCTGAGTTTTTGCGTGATGAAAAAAATAAGGAAGCACATTTAAGATTTGACCTTACTAGTAATTCTCAGGTTATTACAGGCCTTTAGTTCACACCCGCTTATTACTTGTTCTAGGTATTATTGATTCTTATTCTTCTCTGTGTATTTAAAATGATTATATTTTTGCAGATAAAAATGCACAAAAAGTCCTAAAGCAACTACAGCTTTTTGCTCATGAAGTCTGCTTAGTTACAGTAACAACCAGTTTATTCTAAACTCTCATTCTTTGAGGGAGGCCTCTTTCACCCAACACCTTGAATACAGGTGTGGGGAAATTCATATGCAAGTTGAAGTCAAGTTGAAAAAGTACAGTAAAGGAAGGAGAAAGTTATTTCATGCATCTTTCATGAAGAAATGAGTCAGAGGAGAAGAATATCACTGCTGTCCATATCAGTGAATATAATGTTTAGCAAGCCAGTCATAGAAACCAAGACTTTATTTAAATACAGCAGAGGAAAAGGTATAGTAGCTGTAAGTGACTGAAACATTAACACGTTTACTTCCATTCCAGACGCATACATTAGATACAGTTAAGCAGAACAGGCAGCCTCTGGAAAGAGGGTAATTGTGCTATCTTGTCATAATGACATGGCACAATAGGTGTCTGTCATTAGGAGAACAAGAGAAAGAGGAACTGCAGAAAGCATCTCCTATTTTTAGGGTCAGAATCAGGAAAGCATTTAACCATCGGCTTAAGTCGTTCTTGTTCAGTTTAGCAGTGAACCGTGTGCTTGAAGTTAAGCATGTGCTAAGTGAACAGGAACACTTTATTTTTTCCCTGATAAATATTGAAGGGAACTACTAAGTTCTTTTTTAATTCAGAAAATACCGTAACAGATTTGGAATTGGTTGGTAATTGGTCTGTGAAGAACAAGAGTTCTCACCTGCACAAGGTAACACATCTTGATAGGAGGGTGGTACCGTGGTACCTGTTTCATGCCTGGAGGAGAGTAATAATAGAATAGTGATAGTGATTGCTTTTGTGGGAAGGAATTGTGGCAGAGGAAGGTATTTATAGGCGTTTTTGGCTCCCTTTGTTTTGTTTTTTAACTGTTCTTTGCTCCATGCAAGCTTCGTTAACCTCCTTTGCCTCCATTTTCCCCTCCCCTTTCATAGCTTTAGCCCCAGAGCACTCTTCAAAATCTGTGAAGGGTGGATTGTTTGGCTGTTTTTTTTTTTTTCTTTCCCTGATATGTAACCAGCTCCTAGTGGGCTCCTCTTTGTTTCTCTTGGGTGAGTTAGCTTGTGGTTTCTTATTTTTAGAGAAGAATCTGAGCACTTCAAAAGCAGCTGAAAACAAGCTTATTAACTTCTTTATTCTGGCAGAGAGAAGCCTGGGACCTGGAAGTAAAAAAAACAAAAACAAAAAACAAAACAAAAAAAACTGGGTATGGGCAAAAATGTAAGGGGTATATAAGGCGAGATTAAGCCTCTGGGAGAGGAACAGTAATTAGTAACTGGTAGTTACTAACTTTTAAATATGGGATGTGGAAACAAAACCCTTACAGCCAGCAGTGTGTCAGTAGCTGATTACATATTTATTTTGAGGTCATTGTTTGGCTGTGGCTAAATGGGATGTTTAAGCGAGTGTGTCACTGGGCTGGCAGAAGATGATGCAAGTACAGTGTATCTGGAGTTGGAAACGATAAAGCTGCTGAATAAAACAGAAGTGCAGGTGGCTAATAATCGGTTGGATTTGGCGAGTACAGTCTAGTTCTTTAAGGATTCTTTTCAGATAAACTCATTTCATTCAGTTAGCTGTTGCTAAGAGAAAAGTAGATTTTAAAAAGTCTTAGACAATGCAAGATATTAGCAAGTGTAGCTTAAGTTCTAATCTTCATGTTTGTAATCTTAAAGCTAGTTTTACTGCCTGCCTTGTAGTTTTCTAGTGTTTCTCTTTGAGCTGCTTGTGATGTTCCCATTAATTATTTGATCCGTTTTATAAACTGGTATGAACTGTACATGGGATTTTGAAGAAAGGGAGCGTATTGCTCAGCTAAACTTATCAGAAAAGAGGGGAAAATACCTGTTAACCTAGGTAACAAAAGCTAGACAAAGACCTGTGGAGGCAGCTCCTAGTAAATCTCGGCAGGTGGTGTCAACGTTTATGTTGAAAAGCCAGATGCAGCCAGATGGAAAATTGCATCTTTAACCCCTGAGGTCATAATGGCATGTCATCACTTCATTTGATCCCGCTGCTAAGTGAGCTTATCATCCACCCTGCTGTTACTTCTGTTATTACTTTCATTTTCATAATAAAATTAAATTTAATTTGTCTAATTTGCTTGCTTTTTTTTTTCTTTAGGTCAGAGTTTTCTCAAACTGCTATGATACATATGGCAGCCTCTCCAAGGTGCATTTATAACTGAATTTGTATTATAAGCCCCTTACTTAGGCAGAAGGAGATGGGAAGAGAGGAGAGGAGCTGTAGGGGAAACATTGGCTGCCTGATAGCTGCAGATGGGCTGCTAAGTCCAGCGGAATCTAGGTGTGGGTTTGTAGGGAGAGGAGGAGTAATTGCAGAAGAGCTTTTTCTCTTCTGCTGAAGGAGAGTCGTGGCTCTGACCCTATAGGGTCCTTTGTGGAAGTTGCAGAAGTCTACCCGCCGACTTTGGCCATGCTGAGATTGCGAGATTGCTTTGTGTAGCCTGATGTCTCCCTCTGGTCCTTTGTATTCCTCTTTGCTCCTGCCTCTGTTTACATTGCTTTTTGTTGGCCACTGTTGTATGTAAATGCTTTTGCATAGCTCAGCCAGGTGATATCTGCTACCCTTAGCAGTAGTGGATAGCTAGAAGGCGGAACAACTGCCTTTGAGCTGTTGCCCTGGCAGGTGGTTAAGTGAAAACTGTTCTGCATCCCTACACAAAACAGAGCAATGGAGCACATGCTAATTTAACATCTATTTCCTAACATTTAAATGCATGTTTTGTCTTAAGCATGTACTACTCTAGTGTTGATAAATGTATGTTTTCTGAAGGTGGAGGTTGGAGGTGGAGCTGTTCCCGGCACTTTTCCAGGGGTTACTATGTCTATTTATGCTTAGTTCTACAGCAGTGTACCTCTCAGTCTCATGGATATGCGGAGAAATGCAGGAGAATGATGTTTGATCCCCTGTAGTGTGTATTATATTTTTCATTATCACTACTTTTCATATATTTTAATTTACCACCTCTCCTTTTATTCATGATCTGTACCATTGCAAAAAAAACCTTAAAATTATTATTTTATGTTAAACTTTGTACAAATGCAGTAACATTGGAGTGACTAAATTTTTTCCATAACATTAATACTCTATCTAGACAGCATCAAAATTCAGCTCTTATGCCTATTCTATACTTGCTTCTTTCTTGACTAATTTTATAGAAATTTCTTGAATCCATATTAATAGGATAGTTTTTATTCACTAAGGAAGCTGTGAATTGAATTTGCAAAATAGAGGGGGAAGAAAAGATCCATTTGTGTGGTCAGGGAAAGTAATTAGGAACTGCTACTATTGTTTTTACCCTTGGTGCTTCTTGCCTATTAAAACAATTGTCATAGGCAGAGCTCAGCATTGCCTACTGTTGAGGCTACCTGAGTTTTTGGATTATGGCTATACGTTT